CAAAGTTGGTCCATTTGTTCATTCATTTGTTGAATGGTGTGAAAAATGTTATATATATGTGTATGTGTATGTGTATGTGTGTACATTTAAAATGCTTATATGCATAAATGTAGTCTATACATAAATGCAATACAGCATTTGCAAGCAAAATCGGTTTTAAATGTGTAAATATATACACCTGTGTATGTACATATATTGCTATTTACTGAAGCAGACAATTGGTTTGTTGTTGTTTTGTTTTTACTTAAATTTTTCTTTGTGGCTGATTTTGTGAATGCCAGGTGTTTTTTACAGGTCGTTGAATTTTTTATTTATTTTAGTTATTTTTTTTTTTTAATTTTATTTATAGAAATTAATAAATTTTTATAGCGCCATGTATTGAGGCCAATATTTTTTTTATATTTTTTTTTTTTTTTAAACTGGTGGTTACGCTAGGAATCTCACTCCAAGATCAGCAACGAAGTACAATTACGCAGATAAGCGCTAGACGTGACGCTTTGGACGAGATTATTCGGTGGGCTATTGCTGACATACGGTTCCAATTGCTGCGAAAATTGGTCGGAAATCGGATGGAATTTATTCGAGCGGTCATTTGTATGAAATCATTTTCAAACACACATATATCGCTATTAGCAAGACAAAGTGTACATTTCTCGACGTTCTCCAGAGATTAGACTCTCTTACGACACAATATTTTTTACTTGGACTTACATCTACATCCATGTAAGGTTCGCTTCACACAACAACTGAAGTCCGGTGACCATTCACACCGACGTAGATATGTCTATTGGGTGTTTGAGCAACAAGCAGTGAACGGCGCTTTTTCGAACAAAATTAGCTTCACCGAAGAGGTACATTTCTCACTCGGGTGATACGAAAACAAGCAAAAATATCTCATTTCGGGTCCAAAAAGAGGCCATTACTACCTGAAAAGCTTACTGTCTGGCGCGTTCTTTGGTTCGGAGATGTTATGCTCGTTATGCTCTTATATTAACCGATTTTATGGCCTGCCGAAGAGCAGATTGAAGAGAGTTCGGAACTCCCATTTCATCCAGCAAAAAACAAAGGTTTCGTATGGCTTGTGGGCCGGTGGAATAAACGAACCATGTTTCTTCCGAAATAATATCCGTGAGAACGTAACCGACTATTTAATGCCTGAAGTTGAAGCTCGTGATCTCGTCGACATTCGGTTTCAACAAGACGGCTCCCCTTTCAACACATTGCATCAATCAACGGATTTATTGAGAGAACACTTCGGTGAGCAGATGATTTCACGTTTTGTGCCGGTTAGACTTTTCCCTGTGGGATTATGTCAAGCCTAAAGTCTATGCGAACAATCCCGATTCAGGTCGAAATGCCCGAACGAGTCATCGATAATTAGACTCAACTGATGAACCATCTGAGACGTAGCAGCGGTCAACATTTGTAAGATATAATCTTCAAAAAATAAATGCCAAAGAATGTTTCTTTGTTTTTTTGTTTCTTAAAAAAAGTAGGAAACCGCAAAATGGATCACCAAAAAACGAGCTTGTTACTTATCAATAATAATTTTTTTAAATTTATTTCCCTATTCTGTCTGGCGATTCAAAGACTAAGCCTTATCACAATTTTCAAAGCAATAACAATAAAGTGAAAAGGGGTTTTATATATATTTATAAACCTTTATTTATGTGAGCAACTCTTGCCCTTTTAATTATAAATTTTTTATTTTGTACATACATTAACATATTTATTTATATTTGAATACATACCCATATCCGAGTTCGCACAAGTCAATCGAATTGCAATCGATATCAATCATTTGCCCTGTACTTCATCGTTCCGTCTCTACTATTTTTTTTTTTTTACTATTTTTTATCACATTGCAACTTAAAGAAAAAGTAAAAAACGTAAATTAAGTAAAGCGCAAGCGGCAAAACTGACTATTGAAGTACTCAAATTTCCTTGCATTTGTGATAAGTTCAGCCGTCCCTCCTGCCCCCTTGAGTATTTTATTATTTCCCTTATGCCATGATTATTGCTGCGTTGCATTAGCCACAATTCGTAGGGTGTCGATGACATGACGTTGGTGCTGGCGTTTGGTGTTCGTTTCGGTGTTGCTGTGCTCACCTCTTGTCACAAGTCTGTTCAGCTGGTTAGTCGTCTTTGTGCTGAAGTGTTCGTTCGCCTTTTTATTGTTATTGGATTTACTTATAAAGTGGCATACTTCACGTCGTCTTCGCCAACTGACTTTGGCTTTGTCACTTGACTTTGTCGGCGAGTGGGTCTGTTGTTCAATTCAAGGTCAAAGAGTTCGGCTTATCGTGTTACAATTTCGAAACGGTATAACATTGCACCGTACGGAGGAATGATTTAGAAGGGCTAATAATGAGTGCAGCGTAAATACGGAAGAGGAAAAATATAAACAATTGTTTGAACTCTGTAGTGTGAAGTAAGGCAGGTCTAAGTCTGGGTGGTACCACATATTAAATATTGGACCGAAAACAATTTTAGTTGCATATTTTGATATTTGGTCGCATTCCGTCGACTCGTAGAAGAAACATTTAAATTTGATTCAAATACGAGTTTCGTTTCGCTTTGCTTCAAAGTCTTGTTTTGACAGATAGGATCGATGTTGCATTGTTGATTCACACAAAAAGTAATCAAGGCGAAGCGAAGGGAATGTTTCGTTGTGGAGACTGAATTTTCCGGCAGTTGTTTCGAAGCTACTCCCTTTTCCCATTCTGGCGTTAAAGTTGCCAAGATTAATTTTCACATCGTGACGGGTGTAACGCTCATGAGTACGCTCCAGGTATCCTTGGTCACATCGTCCTTTCGAGGTGAATGTCAGTACTCGGCGACGAAGTCTTTCTCCAACTTCGAATCCGTCACAAAATTTGCGCTCCATTATATGGCCGCTGTAGTAAATGTCACGAGAACATAGTCACTTTCGACCTTGTCCGGCCCATCACATATCTCGGACGGCGGTGATGTCAGCTTTTATTCTTAAGAGGCAGCGACAACTTGCCAATTAAATGACCGGACATTCCAGGTGCATGCCCTCAACTCGAGATCCTTAATTCGTTTGTTGGGGTCATCATCAGGAGTGGGTATCGAGGCGTTTTAAACTTTTTCATTGAAGTTAGATTCTACGTGGTGGGCCGCAAGCTCAACACACAATCTCGCTAGGCATGCAATTTTCAATCTTTTATATATTTATATAGCGAGCCGTTTACCTCACGACCAATCGCAGCCGCATCTCTGGTGAACAGACTGTGCATTTAGACTTCAGCGAACCCTTAAATCGAATAAGTTTGAGTGGCTCTACTGAAGCTTCATCTCTTTTAGCCGTGACCCAGGCTCTACAAGGGTTGCCTACCGCATCTTGCTCACGTTTCCAGGGTGCGTGATGTGGATGCAAGAGGAGGAATTGAGTATAGCCCCAGGACTATAAATGCATACTCAGAAGCTTTACTACACCCCATGGAATTAGTGTTTTGAATTTTTTTTTACCCTGAGTATCGGAGTAGACGAATAGGTCCCTCCGCCATTGCGCGCAACAATTGAAACTGTACGTATCCAGTTTATGGGAGAATTTGAAGAAGGATCGGTTTGCGTTCGGTAAATATCCCAAAACGAGATGGTCATACCGATTTTCAAAATTTCGTTCAGCTATGAAGGTAATTTATGGTAGCCATGCTTAATGACTTTTTCGCGCCTTTTTTTGGAGGATGTTGATGACGACGACCTTTAGTTCCAACAAGCCGGCGCTGCATGCTATACAGCCAACAAAACAATTAATTTATTAGAAGGAACGCTTTGGTGAGCGCATTACTTTGTATCGTCGGCCTTTATCCTCTAAGATCGTGCGATTTAACCTGTAATATTTTTTGTAGGGTTTTGTGAAGTCGCTTGTCTACGCAGTCAAGCCTTGGAAGAGAATATTAGGCGCGTTATTGCTGTACAAAGTGGACGGAAATTGGGTTTACGTAATGACAAACCCCTATCTTTATAATAAAGCTAAATTCTTGTTCATAAAATTTAATTAAATGCGTTTTATATCTTCTTGAAAGTCACATGTCTAAAAGAACACCCCTTACAAATTTTATCAGGTGTACAACTTTGCTTCCGCCGTTTTCCGATAAGTGGCTGTACCGGCTGAGGCTGGTTGAAATACATAGAATGCATTTAAAGTGAGTGTGGACAGTGCCTAACGAATTGTCATCGCCGTTTCAGTGACAGTTGTTCTTGTTTTCGTATTATTCACGCTCGAAAATGTCCGTTTATGTGCCTAATTCTCGCCATTTGCGGGAAGTTTTAAAAAAAAAATGCAGCTGAAGCGCATCGAAAGCTGCTCTGAGTGAAAGAACGTTCAAAGATGAACAACTAGAAGCATTGCTTGATGAAGATTCGTGCCAAATCCAAGAAAAGCTTGCCGAATCGTTGGAAGTTAGTCAGCAAGCCATTTCAAAATGTCTCAAGGCCCTGGGCCTAAAAAGAAAAGCGGCCACAATATCAAGAGCGGCATGACAAAGCCATCCTCCAACACGACAATGCTCGTCCTCACGTCGCAACAGTGGTCAAAAAGTATCTGGAAGTCTTGCCCCACCCGCCGTATTCCCCAGATGTCGCCCTTCTGACTTCCACCTATTCCGTTCGATGGCACACGACCTGGCAGATCAACATTTTCAATCCTTCGAAGAATTGGAAAAATGGATTGCTTCATGGATAGCGTCAAAATAGGGCTGCTTTTTTCGAGCCGGGATCCAAAAAGATGGAGAAAGTTGTCGCTAGCGAAGGACAATACTTTGAATAATATATCTGTAAGCACTTTTTCGCAATAAAGCTTTTAACTTTGGAAAAAACCGGCGGAAGCAAAGTTGTACATTTGATATTAAAATTAAAAAATGTTAAATAATTATTAATTTAACTTATTTTTGTTATATTGTAAATCGATTTCAATGAAACATTAAATTAAATAAAATTTAATTCTAATAATTTTTTTCTTTCTCATCTTACAGGTTTCCGCTAAAGTAGAAAAATAAGCAATTATTAAATAACCGTTTACTAACTCAAATGGTGTAACACGAGAAAAAATTCGAAATTTGTTTGAGGTAAGTGTTCTAGAAATGTGGTTTTTAATTTGAGATAATATTTTTTTTAATCCATTATTTTAACTTTAGAAAATCACACACATATGTATTTAAAAAAATCGAAATATATATGCATATAAATATACCTATGTATTTCTTCTCTCAGCTAAGTAAGTTCAAAGTTTATTCGGTCAATAGTTGTATAAAGAATCAGTAGCTAAATACGTTTAGAAATATAAATATATGCATGTATGTATGTATGTATATGTGTACAATCATAGAATACAAATTAAAGCAGAATCGGCTAATTTGCTGAATTACTGTGAGAAAATGCTCAGTACAAATCCTGAAGACGCTTGACACTATGCGTATTATATACCTACATATACACTGAAAACATTGGCAACAACAACTGGTAGCCTCTTCGCAGCATAAGTAACATCTGTATGTGGCCAAAAACTTACTTCATACATTGAAAAGTACTTTTCTGATCAGCTAAATGATCGACTCGTTAGCTGCATGCAACTAAATTTACATATTCATGCGTACATATGTATCTTCTATACTTTTGTATTTAATCGCAGGCATTAAAGTCAGCATCAATTTTGTATATACGTGTATATTATAATAAATATAAATCAGTATGTATGCCTTGTTAAAGTACTGAGAGTATAATACAAGTACATAAGGTAATTTATTTTTAATTTGCTCGGCATGTGTGGGTAAAAGATTTTTTATTATTTGCACATATATTTGTATTTTTGAACACACATAAATAGTTTTTTAGTTACAGTAGAAACTAAAAAAGCAGGAATATTAAGAGAAATTTTCAAACTGGTATCGAACCATTATTTTGGAGTTATTGTGAATAGGGTTGCCATTTATTTTAACTTTATATATTTGAAAATTGTGTTAAAACATTTCAAGCTATTTAAAGGGTTTTCCAATAAGAGTTGTTGTTTTGAATAGCCTCCTATTCCTTTAGATTTCAGTTTTGAAGCTGTAATTTTTTGCCATTTGACAAGCAAAAATAATTAAAATTCAATATAAAAATGGTAAAAACACTGGTAGAGACGTTCGTAAAACAAAAACATTTTTCGGGCGTCGTGAAGCATCTTGTAACACTGCAATACAGAAATTGGCCGAAAAAATGGTGCTTAGATGTGAGATTGAGATGTGATGTGAAGAATAAAACACCTCGTTCAAGAACAACTAAGAATATTGCTGCTGTAGCTCAAAATGTTGAAGAAAACACAGGTCGGTCTATACCTCCACCGTATTTTGGGGCTCCGAAAACCAGAGATTTATTGTTGAAAAGCCTGTCCATCCTCAACATGTAACTGTTTGGTGGGGGTATTTGGTTCGGCGCGGTCAATGAACCTTACTTATCGTTTATTTTCATTAAGACGGCGTTACGTGAGAAACAATCAACAAAATCATCGATATATTAAGTGAAAAATTTCCAGACCATTTTATCCCTCGAAGAGTTGATAGCAATTTGCCACTGAGGTCTTTAGATTTAACATTTAGCGACTTCTGTCATTGAGTCCACGTGAAAAATAAGGTCCAATAAGACCTCTTCGGAAACCGTGAAGCCATTGAGGGCATACAGCAGCCACTTTACACTTTTATGAAGAAAAATTTCATAAAAAGGATACGATCCTGTAATCGAAAATGGAAATGAAATGTTTCTTTGATGACTGATGTAGAGACCTGGAACTTTGAAGGAGAGTAGGCATTCGATAATAAATAATTTTCTGGAACCTTCAATCGATCTAAAAGCCAATTTGTTTTTAATTCCTTCGATTTTCCAAAAAATCCAATTTGTTTTTAATTCCCTCGATTTTCATAAAACTTGCTACAAGGACATGGGACACACTTTTTAACGGGCGGGGGACTTAAGTCAGATTTATTCGAAAAAGTTTCATTTCTCGTTGGATTTGAAATTTGGTACAAAAACAGCTTCGTGGCTCAATTCGAAGTACCGGGTATGCCTAATATATGGAACATAGAACCGATGTTAACGAATGGAGAATTTTTTTCGAAACCGATCTATCCAATATTTGAAACATAGATTTCGTAAAAATCGATCAAAAATCTTATTAAAACCATCTTAAAATTCCATGTTTTACGAAAATAATGACTAAGCTATGTGTGCAGGGTTGCCATGTGCTTGACAAAATATTTTTGTTTATTAACTTACTGAAGTTATAATTATAATAAATTATTCCATCACGAAAATTCTCGTTTTTGTGTTTAAAAACCAAATAGCTTTCGTGTTTTGCTATTTTTGTGCCACATTTAATGGAAACTATGTAGATTGTATTTTGAGAGCCCACTGTACTTATTTATAGTATAGTTATTTTGAGCATTTATCGATGCACCTACAGCAGAGTGGAAATCAATTTACTTTTAATTGGCCTCCGCATTTGCAATCCAACTGATTGTTGTTCCGAACTTCGTTGTCGCGCTCTTCGGGTTGGTCGCGCGTTGGGCTACTCCGCTGATTTTCGCTATACTTGAGTCTTTGCCTTGATTGCGCTTTCACAAATTGCAAATTTTTAGTTTTATAACCAGTTGCGGTCGATTAAGTTTCGAAAATTTTTCGGTTTATTTCTTGTGTAGAAATTCTTAAAATGATGTAGAAACTTACAAGTGTTGGACGTTTTTTTTTTTAATTGATTGATGGAGTTTGTTTTTATGCTTGGAATTAAAAGCGAATAGTTGAATAAATATTATTCTATATATAGTAATTATGTGCATAACCTTCCAGCATAATCATTGGCATTTAAAATATTTTGAAATAATTGTGTGAGTTATTTGAAGTAAATGAAAAAGATGTGTAAAGAAAATATTATGTAATTGAAGATAACCACAAAATGATATCAAAAAGCGGGTAAATGGAAAGTGTTTATAACGAAATCTTAAGTGTATTTCGAAAAAAATATATATATATATTAAAAATCATTTTCATACAAATGTACCTAAATACAGATTGTGCGATTTGAAAAAGTTATATAATACTGCGAATCGGCAACACCGCAAGTCAGTAACTTAATGATAACACACAGCATATATAATATTATACATATAACATACTTAACATACTAACACACTTAATATAACTAAATTTATTAATAAAAGAGAAAATTTAAATAAAGTATAATCCTTAGAAGAATCAAATCGAATTAACTGAAATTGTTCCGCTTTACATCGCTTACGCGATTAGGCATTAATTTTTTTCCCTTTGGAAATACCAATTACAGTCAGGTGCTTCTCTATCTTGTCTTTCCAACAGAGTGGAGGACTTGCTCTTTCCCTGCTTCCACCGGCGGTCACTGCATCGAAAACTTCCGGAGCTGCAGTATTTGTATCCATCCGGACCACATAACCTAGGCTCGTACAGCTCATTCCCATACCCAAATCAGAGAGGACCATAAATCCTACGCAAAACCTTTCTCTCGAAGACTCCTAACGCCGAGTTATCAGATGTTGCCATCGTCCAAGCATTTGCACCATTTAGCAGGACGTGAACAATGCGCAACTTGTAGGTCTTCGTTTGGCGAGAGAGGATTTAATTTTTCAATTGCCTACTCTGTTGTCTGTTGGCAAGAGTGATTCTGCGCTGGAATGTATAATTGTTCGCACAAAATCTGGAGCTCTAGTATTTTGGGTTTATATTTTTATTTTTTTACTTTTTTATTTGGAGCAGTGCGAACATTGGAGCAGCGAGTACTCGGATACTTGTTCATTAATAGTTGGTCGAAAATTTTCGAGCACAAACACGAGTATTTCAAGCCATTTCGAGAGTTTGGAATTGAAATTTTGTAGTTTTTTCTCAGAACAAAAGTGAATATTGAAAAATTTCATATAAACCTTTCAAGAGTAGAGCAAAAAAAGACAGTATCGAACTGTTCGCACTCTTCAAAATCCGGGTATCTAGAGCTTTAGTAGGTACATACAGCCTTGGCAAAAAGTATTAGGCACACCCCTAATTACTGAATTTTTTGTTCTAACAAGTGAAGTAATGAAGTTTTATTAGTAATACAATGAATAATAGCGTTAATATTTAGTTCTCTTGCGTCTTAAAATAGCCCACATGTGCTCAATGGGATTAAGATCTGCAGACTGTGCAGGCCAATCTAACAAAACAATGTTGTTATCTCTAAAAAACCCATCGTAGTCGCTGATTTGTGACAAGGAGCATAGTCTTGCTGAAATTGAACCCCGTCTAAATTTGTACGAAGGCAGAATAACAGCTTCTAATACATTTATGTACTCTTGACTGTCCATGCGACCCTCGTAAACGAACATTGCGCCGACGCCATCAGCAGCCATGCAGCCCCAGATCATAATACTGCCTCCTCCATGCTTAACAGTGCGTACAATGCAATCTGGATGATATTCTTCCCCAACCCGTCGCCTTACGAACTACACACCAAGTGTTCTATATATATGTAGAAAAGAAAAAAATAATGTCTTCAAAATTGCTCTGGGATAAGAAGCTATGACTGTTAATACTTTAAGACGATCTTAAGTACGCCCACCTCGAAGTTTGATTCATCATACCACAGAACATTCGAACAATCTTCTTCCGTGAAATGTTGGTATCGGCGAACCCATTCCAAACGATTTTTCCTATTTTTTTCTGAGAGCCATGGCTCCTTTCGGGCTTTGCATCCTTTTAAAACTGCTTCCAGAAGTCTTCTTCTAACTGTTCGAGCACTAATTGGCTTACTAAGTTCATCCGAAAGGGCAGCTGCAAGGACAGAAAAATATTTTTTGCGATCCTTGAAAGACTCGCGTTTAAGTATTCGGTCTTCTCGTTTACTGGTTAGACGCTTTCTCCCACTTTTTGACTTATTATTTTGGGATTTCGTCTCCATAAATCTCCTGACAGCACATTGGACCGCGCATAGCGAAGATCCCACCAAATCCCACCTGGGACTTACTTATGTATTCAACATGCATGGACGAACGGCGGTTTTTAAACTTGCGACACCACTTGTACACACTCGTAC